GATGGCCGTTGGGGCAGGAAAGTTCTCGAGTGGCGACCACGGGCTGGAAGACGTAGCGTGGGCAGGCCTCCTACTAGGTGGACCGACGATCTGGTAAAGGTCGCGGGAAGAGCCTGGATGCGGGCAGCGCAGGACCGTTCATTGTGGAAAACCTTGGGGGAGGCCTTTGTCCAGCAGTGGACGTCATTTGGCTGAAAAAAGAAAGAAAAAAAGAAAAGACCTTTAAAAAGCACTTTTACAAGTTCCAATATATTTTTGTATTAACTTATTAGCATCCTGTCATAACCAGTGTGTTCCAGACATTCATAGAAGGCTTTCGGTGGCGTTAAGGATGGTTATTTTTCACAATTTTTAAAAGAATAAACCATTAGGATGTGGACATTGCGATGGATGCAAACAGGCGACATGACCCTATTTAATTCAGCGAACGACAATGTTTTTCGCAGACCGTTTGTTCTAAAAACACTATTACCTACAAATGTATTTAAGTATTCGAAACAATTTAACAAACAGCTGCACTAACAAAACAATAAAGAAACAGTTAAATAGTCTGTTAAGGCGATTAGAGTCCTCAATGACCTTGGGCGTTTGACCTTCACGCCGCGAGCAACACCCGCGTACCCCGCACCAAAAACTCCGATTTGACACCGATCAAAAATACACGGGAATAGGTAGATACAGAATAGAAGCTCTTTCTTCATACATTACTGCCTATTATTTTAAACTTAAATTCATGAACCTTGATGTCGGTGTCATTTAACTCAGGCGTAAAGGTATTTAATAAAAATAACAAAATCCATGAACATTTTGTACGGGATAAAATTTTATTTTATTTTTCGTAAATTTTCTAATGCTTTTGTCGGTTCAGTCAGTTGTTCTCGAAATTTGAACAAACCCGACTTTATTACAAGCTTTTATTTAGCTTGCAATTTATGATGTATGTAGGTAATTACATAAATGTTTGTTCGGGTGGAATCTTGCAAGCTGAATTAGTTAGCCAAAGAAAAAATTCATTTTGATCGCTAATGTCAGTTTGCAGCGAGTGACACAACCTCCCCGTCTGAAGGCCAGCGGCCGACTGCCGCCCGCACCCCGCGAAGGCCCCCTCAACAGCAAAACGTTCGGAATTTATCAAAAGTAAAATTTATGAATGAAAGTAATGTTCGATTGAAAAACGCAACGTGTCATTTAAAGATTAAAGAATTCCCAATCTATTCGTGCAAAAATCTTTTAAATTAACATAGCCGTTTTGGAGGAGTAGGGAATTTAAGTAAAAAATCGATGTCCCGTATTTATTTTTTTAATCCAAAACAAAGAGACGTAGCGAAAATTCAAACGTCACAAATGTAGTCCTTGAACTGTTGTATAACATATATTTTTTTCAACTATTTCTATCCAGCAGTAAAAGAGGAGTAGGCTTTACAAAATGCCCATTTGGCGCGGATTGAGGACACTAATCGCCTTAACTGTTTTAAAACAGTGTAATCAACAGCGTTGCAACTTCAAAGAATTCCCGCTGAGTATGTTATATTTTCCGTTTCTACTACAATAAGTGGAAATCGCTAACATTTAACTAGTGCATAATAAAGTTCCGCTGTATTTTTCCCTTGTACAGCAAAGTAAGCCGCTCGATCCTCGTTAACTGTTTTACTTCTGTTAGAACTTAAATCAGTGTTTATAAACGTGTGGGTCGCGACCCCCTGGGGGGTCGCGAGAGGTCGTAAAAACTACCTCAGTAAAAAAACCAGAGAAGTTAAAAGCTAGATTTATCCGAAATCTAATTATGCAAATGCATTAATGTTGTATAGTTTGAAGAATTCGTTCCCTACAACATCTTTGTAAAAGGCATGAAAAAAAAAATTTTTTTTCATGCTAGTGGGGGGTCGCGTCATGAAAACGGTTGAAAAACACTGACTTAAACAAACTTGTTATTAACATTATAGAGCACTTCAGCAGACTGCATTTCTTTGCTTTTTTACGTATTACTCGTTTAGGGATTAATATGAAATTATTAGCTATTCATGATTATAAAAAAGTACACGAAAAATATACCTACACATTACGAAAATCTCAAGAAGTATAATGTATACCGTACGCATTAGTGCGTTGAACTCGATTGGATATATTTTCTTTATTTAGTACTAGCTTTAGGATATTCATCATCATCATCATCATTTCAGCCATAGGACGTCCACTGCTGAACATAGGCCTCCCCCAATGCTTTCCACGTTGATCGATTACGATGTCTTCGGTCCACCTTGTAGGTGGACGTCCCACGCTGCGTTTTCCGGTACGCGGCCTCCATTCCAGAACCTTGCTGCCCCATCTGCCGTTAGTTCTGCGTACTATGTGCCCTGCCCATTGCCACTTCAGCTTGCTAATCCGTCGGGCTATGTCAGCGACTTTAGTTCCCGGATATTATTCGAATTTTTCTCGCCGTAAAAACCATCCTCGGACTTTAACGAACATTAAAAAAAAGAATTGGTAAAATTGTTCTAAACTTTGTCACACCGAAAATCACTATAGTTGGTTTAGTTACTTGAACTTGATTTTTAGATAAAATATGTATATAAAATCTATAAACCTTTTTAACGAAGACTTACAATTTATTTTGAGCTTTAATTTGGCTCCTCTTGTGCCGATGTCAGCCTGTGGCTAATTCAAATCTTTCAAGTGGGAATTCTCCGCTTTCCGGAGCCGATTGAAATTTTACATAATAATGGTTAGTCAGATGTAGGGTTGCCAGGTCCAAAATCACAAAAGCCGGACTCTTTGCTTCATTTGGCAGGACATGTGAATTGCAATTAGTGTGAGTGAGTGAGTACTATCATCATCAGTTGCTAACCAACATCCTGAATATCCTGATACGTGCCCTTCATATTATTCTGTGGCTCGACTTTCACCTGGCGCGGCAGCCAAATAAAAAGCCGGACACAATATTTGGCCGGACAAGACCGTAAAAAGCCAAACATGTCCGGCTAAAGCCGGACACCTGGCAACCCTAGTCAGATAACAATGCAATAGAATCTGTGATGGAACTTGTCTGTACGATGATGGAGTGGAACGAAGAATAACTTATTGGAAGTTTATGTGAACCTTTTGATAAAAAATGTTTTTCAAAGTTCTTTTTCATTGAATTCTGAATCTCGTAATCAAAGGTTTTGCTAAGATAAGTATAATACATTGACATATTATGTAAATAACCTCCGTTTTTCGTGCTTCACTTCAAATTACTTCTAACACAATTTTCGATTGCAAGAGCGAAGTTGTAAAAATCTTTGTTTGTCAATCTTAGTAACCGCTCTTAGTCGTCGTTCATTACTACACGAATATTAACATAATCTAAATATATATATAACTCAAAGGTGACTGACTGACATAGTGATCTATCAACGCACACCCCAAACCACTGGAGTAAAACGGGATCCACGCGTACGAAGTCGCGGGCGGCCGCTAGTATGTTTTATGTAATGTTTTATATAACAATTGCTATTAAGATCATAATTCAGCGATCCTCTTACGCCGACACTGACACCCGTGTCCACCAACGATGCTTGCATAAGTGAAGCAGAAAATGGAACGCACAGCGTTGAATAGAGCTTTGTTATTGTTTCATATGCCACCCTGTGCGTTCATGCGCACTATGAGACTTCATAGTGATGTTTGCGAATACGACCGTGATCAATACGCCGCTGATCACTTCAATAAGCATTTGGTCCCTAATTCAGATCAGCACTAATGCAATGACAGTGTCAGCAAACGTTTGTTAAGCCAATAATTATTTTGATCCGTTAGTTTTGCTGAGTAATTAGTTGTAGAAATGAAAGCTGAAAAGAATTTAAGTTAAAAACCGGATAAACAAATTCCCAAATAGATACGTGCTCATTGAAAGGTGGCAAATTGAATCATAGACCGTTTTCATCATATTAAATCTTGCAGCAAACTTCAACTTCGCCTTTTGTTGTTGTTTCTAACTAATTGAAAACTGCGAAAACTATTAAACATTCAGAGCGCTTCAACTAAAAGTGGTAGCCTAGCGCCTTCACTTGCTTTGTACTGGTACTAAATGCGTCTGGACTTGCTGTTAATAGCAACTTTCAAAATTTAAAGCACCACCTGTGCGCTTTGGTGCAGTTGAATGCAATGAGATGGCGCTGTTCCAGTTCTGTTTCAGTTTCAAGAGCGATGCTTTTCAGTAGTCATGCGTAAACTGCACTGATAAAATGTACCTGCTGCAGTGAAATTGCAAAGGCATTATTGATTTTGTAATAATAATTAAAATGGAAACACTGTGTGAATTTGGAAGTCCTTTTGTGTTTTTTCATGGAGCAATTCAGGGAGGGTGTAATGAGGCAGTCTTCTCCAGAATGACGGAGGCTTTTATGTTCTTAATAATTCAAGTGCCACGGTGAGGGCTAATAGTGATTCCTTAGGATGACAGCCAACAGCCTCAGTATTCGAAGTTTCCTCTTTGCCCCAAATTCACCACGACTTATCTTCGAAGAGAAGGTCCCGGTCTACATACTTCACAGCAGTAAGGATCCAGCATGGAGCGTAAAGCAAACTCATTTGGTTAAGTAACGCTGTGCCTTCCATAGCTTACAAGAAACCAACAAAGAGTAACTGCGAGCTCCCGAAAACTGACCCTGTTTGGAAAAAATCTTTTAGATCTTACCACAGCATACCAAGCAACACGTTGTGGCATTTAAAAGTATTATAAAAACCTGATGATACTGACTTGATGCAATGTTTAAAGAAGTTCCTGCGCTGTAACCAAATACAGTGATTGGTTTTCAGATCGTAACGTACTTACGTCTGTGGAAATGATCAGTTCTTTAAAAATCAAAATTATCTTTATTTGTATAGGCTAATTAAATTAGTACTTACAAATCGTCCAATGCTCTTAAGGAGCATATACATGTCTCATTCTTTTTTTGCCCTACCAGCGCTTTAAGTCGTATACTAGTAATTCCTAAAGCCGTTTAATATACTAATTCCAGGTGAACAACCGCGGAGGCTGGAGCTCCCTGGGAGGTGCCAGTGAGCTGCGCCGCGCCAGCAACTCGAGCGCACAGCACCAGCCGCAGAGCTACGGAGCCATGAAGAGCTCCACCTCGGAGCCCTACTCTCAATGGTACCCTCACTTTCTTCTTCTTCTTTACGATCTTGGCAGAGCGGTCGTGGTCACTTTGAGGCGTTGTTCACATCACATCAGTTGTAGAGGCGGATAAAACTCTCCGCACGATCTCCCTCCATCTCTCTCTATTGGCAGACTGTCTGGTGCAGTCACATCGCCGTCTCCCACTGCTGATTTCACTTGGTCGGTCCAGCGCATAGGTGACCTGCCACGCGATCGGATTCCTTTCTTCTTACAACCTTCCTTATCACCCATTCAACCAAACGTGATGTCCACTGCTAGATTGAAAAGCCTCCAAGGATTTCCACAACGGCCCTGCGCTGCCAGCATCCAGGTGATTCCACATTAAGTCTGTAATTTGTAAGAGCGAGTGGCGTGACTCAAAGGCAGTACTCACCTGTCATGTAGCAAGTAACGTAGCATGTAACGTATCCAACCTTCAAGTGAGTACGGCTCGTCCACGGTCATCGCGTATCTAGCTGCGAGCTCCTGGATCCTACTGCGAGCCGCCTTTGTGCTCGCAGTGATACCGCCACTCGGCGGGTCGCTGCGATCTCCCTGCGAACTACGCGCGAGCAGCGAGCAGCGGGCTCGTGTCTATGTACTCACTTGATACAGTATCTGATACATTACATGCTACACGGCTAGATGAGTACCCTGCTAAAGGTTCACTACAGGAGTGTACATGATGGTGTAGCGACGAAGAACGGTACTATTCCCACCTCTCGTTCCCGCCGCTGCAACTCCTGTGTAGCCAGGATCTACAGCTTGACCGCCACAAAAACCCAACCAATGAAGGTCAAGTTTGTCCCGGGGGAAAGTTAAACTGTCATTGGACCCGCAACGAAATTAATCAGAAGAACATAGGAGGAGTTCGAAATTAAGGTTCGACTTCCCTCCATTGCAAAGCGGATGACAGGTGACAAAAAAAAAGGTTTAAAACCTTTAAGAAAAGATTATGCACCACGGACGGATTAGCGACGAAGAAGTAGAAATGCTGTTGAATAGTACTAACCCAAATACTTTCTGATATAAATGCTTCTCAATTCCAGGAACGAACAAAGCCAGCCGTGGAAGGAGTCGGTGACCACCCGTAACAACCTGGATTCCCGCGACCTGTCGCAGGTCGGAATCTCCAGCCCGCCGCCCGACATCAAGAGCATCACCATTAAGAAGAAGCCCGACGACGACTCCTGGGACTGGCTGAACAACTGAGCAGGCAGGTCTGTCCATCTAGACTATAGCAACAACCTAGACTCGCGCGGTCTATGTCAAGTTGGCATCTCCAGCCGCCGCCCGACATCAAGAGCCTCACCATCAAGAAGAAGCCCGACGACGACTCCTGGGACTGGCTGAACAACTGAGCAGGCAGGTCTATCCATCTAGACCAGGGGTGGCCAACTTGATTAGACATAAGATCGACTGTTTACTAACAAAACCCATCTGGGTGATGGGTGATCTACCACTTACATACTTCTTTAAATCTTAAATGAAACAGCATAGTTTAGTACACAATCATGTAGTATTTTTGGCCACCCCTGATCTAGACTATAGCAACAATCCAGACTCGCGCGAAAATAGCAACCACTTAGAATGTATCATGGTCTATAAAAGAACTATAGAGATATAGAGAGATGCCAACTAATGCGCCGAGTTCGAAACTTAGTGTCGCATTAGAAATTCACACAAAGTAATCAAAAAATGTGCTCATTATCCACTGCGGTATCAGTACTCAACATTCGAATAATCTTTAGTACTACGCAAGCAATGTAAACTGTTTACATTATGACGTCGCTGTCATCATAGCTGTCGCGAGCAATGTGTTCTGTTTTTGGGCATATTGCTGCGACACCGGCCCCGCCCCCTTTTCACATCTCTCTTTAGTTTCTGTGATCTGTGAGTAGAACATAAGACTTAACATGTTCTACNACAAGTAACTACGAAGATAATGATGCGATGAAATTCAGCGTGAAGACACAAATCGCCACATTTTTAAGCATGCCTTGACGTCATGTGCCTCATCTTCTGAACTTTGGTGCGCTTCATCTCTTTAAATTTTCATAAGTTTAAAAAAGTGAAAAATACATTTAGAGTTTTTTTTTCGGACTTATTCAAACTCTTGTTATTTTCTTGCTTTATCCACGAAACATCCCTATTCTTCGAAATTATTACGATCTACAAACGGAAAATCTCTGCTACTACGCCGCAGTAAATTCCCCATCATAAATAAAAAGTTTTTTTTTTTAAAACAAGCTCTTGTATGCTAATAATTTTGGTTTCATGACATGCTCCTAAAATTCATCACCTTATAAGAGGATTTCAGTTTTTATCTGCGAAACTTTTTAATAATATAGGTACGTTGCATGGTTTGGTAATTTAGGGAAGTTTATTTGCACTTAACATGAAAAATATGGTATCAATGTACTGAGTACCTATGCACCTTCAGTGGCAACAACAAGGTCTACTGGGTACCTATAGTCTGCTAAAGGCATGAAATAGATTAAATTCACTTAAAATTAAAACCAACTCAAAACGCATCACCAAAAGGTAGGACACCGACACCGACTCCGAAAATGGCTAATTTTGTAATCAGTATCCAAATTTTTAATAAGCTCTATAGAACAATTCAATACCACTTTAACTTAATTTTTTTTTAATGTGACAGGAGGCAAACGAGCAAACGGATCACCTGTTGGTAAATGATTACCGTCACCCATAGACACCCGCAGACCCAGGGGCGTTACAGGTGTTATTTTTAATTCTGCAAACCTTTTATTGGCAGTGATAATTACCTATTATTGGCACTGTTCTCGCAAGACTGAAAAATAGCTGCTAGGTCTTATGTAGAGGTTTTAAAGAGATTCATGATAGAAATAAACAAAATAAAATCCTTTGTTATAAGAAAAGTAACATTTATTTGTATAGGAACATACCATATCAGTTCAAACGCTTATATTTAAATATGGTTTTAAACTTTCCATAAACACTTTTATCAAATCTTCTTTTCTCTTCGGAAATACTTTTTTGCTACTGATTTTTATTTTATCCAGTCAACAAAAAGCTGCTAGTCCTCGTCAGTTAAAATTGTAAACGGACCGGGCTTAGAGCGATGATCGGGATGTTTAGATAGATAGATAGATAGATAAAACGTTTATTTGCATAACAGAAACACACATTACAAACAGAAAGTACCAAAAGTATGTTTCAATCTGAATTGTATAGTAGACCGTGGTACCTTTTTCAAAGCCTTATTCCACTAATCCCGGGGATTAGTGAACTTTTTATTCATTAATCCCCGCTAATTATTATTTTTATAATGAAATTAATTTTTTAAGCCTGATTACAAAACTATTAATTTACACCATTTTTATCTTGTTACATCTTGGCCCAAATTTGTATGTAATCGTTTCCATCTTCTTTTAAATGATGAATGGGGAATAACGATTCAATATCCATAGTGCTTTTGGTTAATCAGGTAAGTGTTAATTTTTTTAAGTATTGTAATCAGTCTTAAATTTAATTTAATTTGATAATAAAAATAATAAGTGAGTTCTTATCCAGTAATAAATAGAAGGTACCTGATTCTTACATGAGTATTTTATTTTTAACGTACTGGGGATTAATTAACTTTTTAGTTCATTAATCCCCATCGTAAACTCGATTGGCGTTAACGGGAATTAATGAACAAAAAGTTCACTAATCCCCGTTGACGGGGATTGTCAACGGGGATTAGTGGAATAAGACTTTGAAAGGCTTTAAAAGTGGCTGAAAAGATAATATTTTTTATTGGCACCTTTTTAACCAATGTTTGACACCCGTGCCAATAAATGGATTTTATATAATTGGCAGTGGGCCAAAATTTGGATTGGTGTATCCAAAACGTTAAAAAATATTTTAAATGCAATTTAAACTCAATTTTGAGACAAAGAAGGTATAATTTTTAATAAACTCAAATTATTTTAAATACCCTTTTATTGGCATGTGTGCCAATAAAATGGATAAACATATTTTACGCATACCAAACGTTGGCACACCACAAATAATTAAAAGTTGGCGGTTAAATTATAAAATAATGTTTTAAAAAGGCAGTTAATATATTCAATAATAAGACAAAATGATTATGTATAGGGACAACAAAATAGATTTGCATTTTTTTAAATGATTATGATAGCTCTTACCTTAGTAAAAAACGAATATTTCGATTGTTTTTATCGCACAGGTCGCGGTTTGTCAAACAAATGGTTGATGAGACGCGATGTTTGAAAAAATTAAAAACGTGTGTAGCCAGTTGAGTAATAAATGATATTACTGTACAATTTCTACTAAAAAATATAAGATTTGGCTACAAAAAACCTTAATTTTCTTAAAAAACTGGAGCATGCCAATAAATTGGTAGAGTGCCAATGATTGGGTGGTTTACCCTATTTTCGACTAATAAATTGTTGTAATACCACGATTTGGGTGGAAAAAAGGTTTTGAAATCATTTTGGTCATTCAAATCAAATGAGGTAAGTCCGAAAAGTGTGTTTAATTTTGATTGTGTCAGGGTTTGTTTACTTCATTTATAGTTGTAGTTTTACAATAAAACAAAAAGAAAAAGCTACTTTAATGGTTTCATTTTATAAAAGTAAACATATTTAAATGTTCCTGTATCGCTAGTAATAAATTAAATATCGTTTTCAGATCGAAATGAGTATTGCTTTGAAGACCGGGTTTGTGAGTGTTACAATATCAAATTCCAACCACAAACCGTTTTTAAAGGAAAGTTGTTGATATTGGCTGGACAAGTCCGAGATGTAGAAGAATTAAGAACAAAACAAGGGCAGAGTTCAATAATTCACGCTCTCATCATACGGCAAACATCTGTGCACAACAACTACTGTGACTCATTTTTGTACTACCGCGTTGTATAGTANTGGCGAAACAATCCCAATTCCTGGGCAACATCGGCCCAATCCGGCCCATCATGGCGGTTGTTTACTATTTTGTTTATTAAGCAGTTAATTTCGTTTGAGATTGTTTACAGGAAATAATCATTGTTTTATCACAAGAATTGGTGCAAAATTTTGTAGTGCGTGGTTGCGGTAGTACGTGGTGTCCTGGAAGTGACATAAGATTCCACGCGTAAGTGTTTATTTCGTGATTTCCGACATTTGATCATTGTAAACATTTTTCACNCCAGCGAATAGTCTTCTCCGTGATAGAAGCCTGCCCCAAGGATTTTCACAAAGTCCGGTACTGTGCTGCACGCTTTCAGATGCTTCCCGCGACCTTCACTAGATCGTCGGTCAACCGAGTGGAGAGGCCTATTGCGATTTCCGATCCGTAGTTCTACGAAACTTTTCTGCCCTAACGGCCAACGGCTATACGAGCTATCTGTTCCTCCTTGTTCCTTGTTCTAATATTTGACCAAAAATTTATCATAAGTATTTTGATAATGTAATAAAAATATATTTTGACTTCATTGATCTAGAAGAAAACTGATCGGAGTGCAGAAGAGAAAAGCTAAAGGTCCACTCTTCGGTGCACCAGCAGTAGGCTCATTGTCATTTTAGAGTAGGCGCACACCGTTGATTTTTCGTCGGCCGATAGTTTAGTCGGGCAGTTGATCAGTATGGGCATGTATGGGAGTGCGCACACTATGCCGATTCGATTTGGCCGATTCTTCATACAATTTAAAATCGGGCACAACTATCGGCCAACTAAAAATTAACGGTGTGCGCATACTCTTAAGGTAATAAATATGATATGTATGGGAACAAGGAGCGTGAGTGAAACACGACGGCTATCAACGCATGTGTTCATTCATCGAGAGATGTGACGCGGGCGCAGCCGCGTAACTATAGCTAGTTATAGGTATACATAAAAATGATCAAATACTAAATTAGTATTATGTTGCTTACAGATGAACTACGCTGACCGATCAAACTTCATGGAATGACTTCACACGCTTCGGACAATTACCTAATGTTTAATTCTTTGTATATCCTATTTACTTTCAAATCTGCACGGTACATCTGCATTTTATAGTAAAGTTTGCAATTCAATCATTTTGTTCTGCAAATTAATTCTGACTTACTAAATTCGATTTTATTGAGATATTTTTATTAGAACCAATATTTCTTGCATAACATTTATATGGTTTTGAGTACCGTGCGGATTTAACGATCACGTAGCCTGGCCGATATTCTCTTTCATCTAATAATAAGCAGTTTTAAAATAAGATTTGTATGGTGTAAGTCGATTCGTCGAGTAAGTAGTATTGCAATGCTGCTTACGTTATATCACGTAGCCAATATTCAGCAAGTTTGATGTCAGTAGATGCATATTAATAACAGTTTTATCTCACCGTAAATGTTAGTAGCTGATGTGTGTAACGGTCGGCCAGGCTATTTTAGAAATTGCGTTATGAAATACGATTTCTTTTTAATTTGGACTTAAGTTGCAATGATGGGCTACATGGTGGCCATTTTTAAATAGTTTAATGTTTATCCCACTCTATTGTAAGCTCGAAAGCAGTTTTACTTGTATGTAAAAATCTGTCCATTTTTTAGAGGTGCGCTCATTATTATTGTAATCAAAAAGAACATTATTTTATGAGATATATGTTGATAAAAGTAACCTATCGATCGTTAAGTATAAAACTCTATTTTGGACAAATTATAATTAATTTATATTCTGCTTTTTCAAAGTATAGTATATTTTACACTAGGAGTTTATAATTGTGGAGTTTATTAGGTTCACGAATTGATTTAATTAAATAAAGCCTCGTATCTGTCGCAGCTAGGACTTGTTTAAGTTTATCAGCTAATGGAGGTTACTGGATGTGATGGATAAGTTCTTATTTACCCAATTGGTTCTGATCATACTTAGTTGAAAATTAGAAATGGATCCATAAAACCAATATTCGAAAGTGAATAAAGTTTGTAGTGCACGATCAAGGTGCCTATAAACATCCCGAAATTTAAAAACCACATTATTTGACAAATATGGAGTAGTTTTATGTATTTTATAAATATGCGACACAGCTCAAAGTGAGTGCCGGTTCGAGAGGTCGCTAATTCGAACCCTGTCGACTGCATTGACTGCTATATTATACTGATATCGGTTTCGTGATGGCGATTCGAATTCAGTTGAAAAGTAGAAACTTATACCAACTTGTCCCTAACATCTTCAGAAAAAAGTTATTAGTTTGCCACAATTGCATGTTGAATAATTAAAACACATCGAATGGCTAGCCTGGAGCTACAGGCATCAAATATGTTTATTTATACGCGAATTCTACAATTTAGTTATATGGTAATATAATTGTTTGGGGCGCAGCGTAGTTGTAACTTGTAAGTAATCTCAAAAGGTCGTCCGGTAAGACTAGGCGCAGACCACCAACTTATAGTTGGGTTGGGCCCACCTCTCGTTCCCACCACTGCAACTCCTGTGTAGCCAGGATCTACAGCTTGACCGCCACAAAAACCCAACCAATGAAAGTCAAGTTTGTCCAGGGGGAAAGTTAAACTGTCATTGGACCCGCAACAAAATTAATCAGAAGAACATAGGAGGAGTTCGAAATTAAGGTTCGACTTCCCTCCATTGCAAAGCGGATGACAGGTGACAAACAAAGGTTTAAAACCTTTAAGAAAAGATTATGCACCGCGGACAATAAATATCAATAAAGGGGCCTATCTTATGAGCAACTAAAGCCCGGTCTATCACGCTCGCACACTCACTGCGGGTGCCAGTCGCACAGTCGCGACAGCAATATAATTACGCGCGAGGGATAAGGATGGGTAGCTAGGGGTCATTGGACAAAATTCTACGTGCTCACAGACCAGACTATACCTGCCAATAATATTTTTGGGTCCGATTTTAATTTGTATGACATCGTCCATACATGCCCATACTGATTAACTGCTCGACTAAAGTACTAAACTATCGGCCGACAAAAAATCGGTGATCTGCGCCTATGCTAAATCAACTCTCGGGAGAAACACGAACGTTTCTGAGCAGTGAACATTCAACTACGGCCCCATGTTTTAGGTCCTAAATTAGTTTAATTTTTTTTATAAGTAGGTAAATACTGTAATTACAGCAACATGCTTAGATAATGTCAACCTGTGACCACTGTCGTCCCACAAGCATGAAGTAACACGTTGATTTCTGGATTTACTTATAAAAATATTAGCTCTTTACCTTAGAAAATGCCGAAATGTTCCTACACACCTGTTCAAATTAAGAGAAATTTTAAAATTATTTACATTAGTTGTTTATTTAAAAAAAATAGCTCGTTCGTCCATTTCAGAAAGACATTCCAAAAAAAATACTGAAATTGATTTCAAAGGTAAAGTTAATATTATTTAACATGAAAACTCAAGTTTGTTGTTTGTTTCTGTTAAAATATGGACTATCACTCCAAGATCTTAAAACTATCCCTTATTTTAAGATCAGTTTCGAATAACAAACCTGTTTGAATGTTTATTTTAATTTTGTAGTTAAATTAAATTGCGCTCCCAGAGAGCTGTGATGCTTGATTGAGCATTTATTTTCATATGCAACTTTAATTTAGTATGTTATTCCTTATTTTAAGTACATTAGGTTGGAGAAGGAATAGAAGGCAAATCCATCATTAAGTTTTTATTCGCTAAGGCTTTCCAGAATGACTAAAAGAAATGAAAAATTTGTTGTACTTATTGCAATGTTGCACCTTGTGTGTATCAGTAAAATTCACTTCTTATCACAATATTTAAGTTATACAGTATGACAGACCTAATATATTTTCTCACACTTCTCTGGAAAGTTGTTTTAAATTGTGTCATAGGAGCTTTGTTGGAAAAGTTAATATGATTAAATCAAGTAGATAGGTGAATATATATTATATAACTTGAACGAATTTTACTTTACTATTAATTAATTATTTACGTAAATTTTATGTACAAATCATGTATACTACGTTTATTACTCGACTGCATAAGGAGGGTGACAATATTAATAGTGTTAATTGTGTTAAAATTGCTAATCATCAATGATTTTGCACTGGCTTCGTATTACAGCGAGATTTTATAGATTTGAAAATGTAATAGTATTATGAGTATTTAGATAAGTGTATTTTGTTTTTTTGGAAATAGTCTTTAGGACTTTTTAATGATGTAACATTATTTAAACATACATATTCAATTAAATAAATAAACTAGTTACTGAATTAAGAATGTTTTTATTATATACCACTGTCCCTTAGAATAACATGACAAGTAAAAAAGTACTAACGGTTACATAGGTAGGTGTCGTATGTACTTAAATAATAACAAAGTTCGTACAAAAAGATTGCAGAATGCAGACTGTAATGATTATGATAATTCTAATTGAAAAATAATCACAAAAAAACATGTCAGAAAATGCAAATTAATCACATTTTAATCTTCTGTAATTATGTAAATATTTGATGAGTTTATTTATTGCTGTACGTACATTCATTTGTTACTATTGTGTAAAAATAAAAATCATTCTCTCGCATTATCTATTACTATACCATTATGATGGTATCAACACACAGACAGAAATTCGAATAGTGAATGGGATTCTATGTGAAATACACTCAAAATCAAATAAACCGCACCTTCCGCGACGCGAACTTTAAAGATTTTCTTCTGACACAATCATGGTACCCCAACAATATTGGTGTTATTTTAAAGCCCAATAAATATCCTTACAGAAAAATACATTTCATTTCTAAATAAATGATTAACATATACCATAAATGTGACTTGAAAATAGACCTCACTTTGAACTCACTTCTGGGATCAATTAGACCAATTTTTATGGTTATAAAACCAAATAAAGATCTCACGTGTCCTCTTTAACAGATGGATAGCGATTAATCACAATTAATCCCAAATTAAGTTTTATAGTAGGTAATAAAAAATGGCTATAGCGTAACTACCTCTTTTTTGAAGAAGTGACTCTGGATCCTTGTAAAGACACATTTTTGGGGTAAAAACCTTTCCTTTAATGAAATGAAGTTTAGAACTAGGCTTTCAAATGGTACCAATGTTGGTGGGAAGTGGGGATGCATACGTTTGATAAGTGCTTGTCGCCAGTGGTGCCAGATTAGGCGAATTATCGCCATTTAGGCTACCTCTGGGGGTCAAATGGCGACCAAAAAATGCAAACGGCTACCGGTAGCCATTTAGGCTACCTAGAAAATAAGATCGGGCTATTTAGGCTAATTCAGGATTACCTTGGAAAATAAATCCTAACCTAGTATTCTGTAATTCAGTTAGTTTTTTAAAATGACCCCTACCCCCTTTTACTACTCTAAAAAGTCCAAACTCCATACTAAATCCGTCAATTTTTTTCTAAGTTTTTTTTATTATTTACACGCAATATAAATACACAAAACAACATGGCCGCAATATAGGAAATGACAGGTTTTGTGTGTGTGTGTGTGTGTGTGTGTGTGTGTGCATGAAGCTAAAGATAAAAATGGAGGGCAGAGTTGGAACAAAAACTTGAGTCAAATACCTACTTATATCTATCTCGCTCTCTGCGGCCCTACCTCTCTTTTTAGTGTGAACTGTAGTATTGCTATCTTCTGATTTAAATCTCCTTGTAAATTCTTCGAAATAGCCAATTCACTAACCAAATCAGAAGTTAAACAAATAAATAATTAATATTTGAAACTAAGATTACCTAGTTAAATAAAAAATCACAAAATTGTCGGCCATTTAGGCTTAATGTGTTGGCGAATCAGGGAATTACAATCCCAATTCCTGGGTAATCGGTACCATGTGGCAACATCGGCCCAATCCGGCCCATCATGGCGGTTGTTTACTATTTTGTTTATTAAGCAGTTAATTTCGTTTGAGATTGTTTACAGGAAATAATCATTGTTTTATCACAAGAATTGGTGCAAAATTTTGTAGTGCGTGGTTGCGGTAGTACGTGGTGTCCTGGAAGTGACATAAGATTCCACGCGTAAGTGTTTATTTCGTGATTTCCGACATTTGATCATTGTAAACATTTTTCACATTTATTACAGTAATTTCTTCCTAAAACGTTTTACCAGTAATTACGCTTATCATTTTTAATGATACCTATGTCAAGAAATAAAGATTTTACATTGGTTTCATTGAATTTGAGCAATTTTATATTTTTTGTTTATTTAGAAAGAGCGAGTCTGCCCACAGAGAGCGAGATAGTGATACTTAGTTTGTGCTTCAAGTAGGTATTCGGAGTGTGGCCTCCATTTTTATCTGTAGCTTCATGGTCAAAACTCCATACAAAAAAGGGGCTTTCGACCACTTTTCGACTGGTTTGCGATTATAATTTGCACTTTGTCTAGACCCACTGTGTTTGTCATTAATGTGTCGATTTGATATGTATTTTTGTATACTTACCTCAAAATGTTAGGCGAATTAGGCTACTTCAGGAAAAAAAAATATTAGGCGATTTAGGCTACTCGGTAGGAAAAATTAGGCGAATTGAGTTAGCTGATATCTGGCAACCCTGCTTGTCGCGGGAGGTGCGATTTATTTGATGCCGAGTGTAGTTGACTTACAACATAAAAAAGTAAAAATCTATATAAAAATGTCATAACTATCACATGAATGAGTACAAGATGTGCAATGGAGCTTGTATATTTTCGTATTCAATGTCACTTAAACAAGATTTTTATACAGGTTTCATTTATTGTAATTATACTCTAATGGTCTTTAGCAGTCCAGTCATCATCAAATTGCAGTTTAATGTAACCTAAACCACAGAATAATAATAAGTACTACATACCTAAACACACATTTTGTATTGTTCAATTATAAAAAAGAAATATTTTTCAATAACAAAGGCTTTATTAATATTGTCTACAATGCATATCTGTATAAACTTAGCCTACAGCTCGATGAATCTTACGCAATACCAGCACAATTCCATCACCCATAAAAAAATAACATAATAATAATTATCGTCCTAACCTCCGTTTGTTTGTCTTGTCTCTGACTTGCCAAAAAAGCTTGAAAGTTCTACAAAAATAATATTTTCGCTATTCAAAACATAAACATTGCAATACTAAACATGGTAACATAGTACCTGCATTCGCTGTTTGTTATAGCATAGCCAGTGCCAATACATTTTATGTAATATGTAAATAAACATGTGTAAATTATGTATGTATATTTTACATAGTTAATTATAACAGGGATACAAACAAACCTTGTCAAAATTGTCAATATTTTTGTTAAATTGCAAGTTTTTGACCTCTGGTTAAATAATATTGTTACATATAATTTAAAGATTCAACGTTGTTATTGATAAAATATTTGAAATATCACTTTCTCACACTTCCAGATTCAAATAATAAATGTTGGAGTTAATTGAATCAATATTTTATAACATACACAATTTTTACAAATGTCTTATCGCTCAGCATATAAGATAATGTACAGTAGAATCCCGATTATCCGGATCAATTAAAACCAGGGGTGGTCCGGATAATCGAAAATCCGGATAATCGATTCCAAAGTAAAATCAAACAATAATTAACTTTTTACACACAACAGAAAGGGTTTTCAATACATCATTTTAGAGGCTAAAAATCTAAATTTTAGACCATTGGACAATTTGGACATCCATTTCTTTTAACAATGAACCAAAAAGACGTCCGTACTATGTTACGTTGGCAGCGCCTTCGGTTTTTATGGGTCCAGATCCTGAATCGGTAATTAGAAACCATGAAGAATGAGTCCGGACAATCGGATATCCGGATAATCGAAGTCCGGTTAATCGAGATTCTACTGTATAGGTAAATAAAATGTGTTTTTGTATTGAAAATTAGTAGAATTCCTATAACACCATAATCACCATAATCGTGACAGGCATAGGTATATTTTCAAGGGTTAAACAAAAACAAAGGTTCAATGAATGAAAATTCCTCCTGCTCTCACACTAGTAGAATCACTTTCGCTTATAATGTTAGATAAGACACGTTATAAATTAAATATTCTATTTTAATAAGCATGATTGATTATTTTAATTCATTTCCTATTTTAAATGTATTTCTCAAAATTAATTAATAAAATATGATGTCAATAAGTCGCTCAAAACATCATGTGGTGTTTCAAGACATTTCCGTTTTCCCCACCACTGTGAACTTGTTTTGATCGACTTATACTTGTTAAATAATAAACTTGTTATAAATTTTATATTGTATTTTAATAAGCATGAATAATTATTTTACATCATTTACTATTTTATAAATATGTCTACAAAATTATTAATTAAATGTAAAATCAATAAGTCTCTCAAAACATCAGGTGGTGTTTAACGTTTCCGTTTTCCCCACCACTGTGAACTTGTTTTGATCGACTTATACTGGAAATCAATGTCGGAGCGTCAGTCGGAAATAAGACATCGAACTGATCGGAGCTCTTGCTCGCTGTGATTTTTGTAATCAATAAAAGTGTGAAAGTGCTGCTCGTCTATCATTTACCGCCTGGAAGTTATTAATAATAACTTAAAGAGGAATGTTATGTTGAAGGGAGACTTTTGCACAGCAAAGGTTGGTATAAACTACCAACACAACCCTAAACATTATAATGTATTAAACACAGAAGATATAAAACTAAAAATGTTGCAGGTACACAAAATTGTTTAATTAAATTATACCTACATACATAAAATCCTTCAAAGCAATACAAACATTATTTGAAGAGATATGAATTTGGCGAATGTTATCAAAACATAAGCAGTGGAATTATGAAAATGATAGATTATAAAATGTATCCCCTGAACTTGGATTAAATACTAACAAAACCACCATTTACAACACCTTATAACGGATAAATTGATTTATGAAGCCCACATATAGAAGTAGATTTCTTGCCAATGATTCAAATATTGTATAATTGGACTAACAATGAATGAAGCCAGTGGGATGGATTTTGAAAGGGATGTAAGAGAACCCTCAATAACTCTCTGTGAGTATCCATTGTACATCGGACTCCTTAGCAAGTACAGAATCATTCCTAACTTCCTACGGCTTATTTCTATTCTTTGTTCATATGGCAAATTGTTTACATGTCTGTTGTATAGCTTCATACTTGCCAAGTCAAGTCCGAGAGCAATGAACCATTGCTTCCATGCCTTTGAGCCAAATACTCTCATGGCAGCAAGATGTATGAGGGGTTTTAGCAAATGGAGAGTCTCAGCGTACATTAGATCTTTGAGATTGATGTTAGGGTTGGGATGGTCTTCTTTGATTTTAATGGGCTGCCAGTCGCGGAAGGACACCGGGGGCGCGCCTTCGACGCGGCGCACCACTCGGCCCGACCTCCGTAGAGTGAAGAATGCATTGGAGTTCTCGTCAGTCTCTTTGCCCTCTGTGAATTTTTTCCTCTGCAGCATAGGGATGGGCGGGTGCGATATCGGCATCTCTTTATACTTGTACAGGAGAATGAGCGCCGAGGAGCACTTGAACAGCTGTAGAAGAGTAGCCACTGTCCATTTAGCTCGGGAGCTGTACTTGTGCTTGACCACCAGTTCAACAAGCACTTCACAATAGTGAATCACGGTCAGCCATATCTTTATCTGTTCCCGCAGCCCGTAATACTGAACTTCATTGCCGTAGGCTTCTCTAATGAGTCTATCGTTGAATAGAGCAAGAAGTTTAGACACCGCGTAGACGAACTCTGATACGATTGGTGATTTGTTTATCTTACCGGCGACGAAGTAAGACGACCATGTTGCCACCGTCTCAACATCGGTCACAACGTTGGGGTTGCTGATCACCCACTTCTTGTAAAGTTCGTACAGTTCTGATGGAGAATACTTCTTGTTCATTTTGAATTATGTTAGCCGTAGCCCGTAAACAATATCACCGTGTACTCAATGTAGTAACAGTAATTATTTTTTACTAAGATAACCAACAACCCATTAGTGATAAGAGCGTGACTCGATCAATAAATTATTTTTCAACAGTCGAACCAAAATGATGACCGAAAAACCAAACACCACAGACAAAAAGCTATTAAAAATTGACAACCACTGTCATTCAACGTGCTGTCAAATCTGACACGAATTAGTTTTTTTTTATTACGGCTTCGCATGGTTTGCACATTCAGCCAAGATCTAAATAAAAAAATAGTATAGGTCACGCAAAACGAGTTGAGTCACTCAACTTGAGTGAGACCATCAACACAAGCAAATATTTTTGTTTCCTGTCTACGTTGACATCTCTGGCAGTCGTACTGGCAAGTGCTTTTTGTCTCGTTTCGTTCGTTCAGTTCGTTTCAGCCGAAAGACGTCCACTGCTGGACAAAGGCCTCCCCCAAGGATTTCCACAAAGACCGGCCCTGCCGCTCGCATCCAGGCACCTCCCGCGACCTTCACCAGATGGTCGGTCCTAGTGGGAGGCGGGTATTTCGCCGAAACAGTAAATTTTCTGTGTCCAGGCAGGCGAACACATGTTTTTTTATATCTATCTGTATAAAACTATTTTTATGGGAAAGTTCATCAAAAGTTTTATTTGTTTTTGCTATTACAATAGCAGAAACTACAAATAATACCGTAGAAAAACTTAATCAAAAGTCGTTTTTCTAATTTCCTTGTCATGTCCATTACTGTTGTTTGCCAAAATTCTCATTATAACAAATTGAAGCGTAATTTAATTCTAATAGTAATAGTAATAATACTCTCTTTACATTTGAGAAACGTTTGGCTATCGGAAAATAAAAACTTTAAATGTCAAATACTTATAGGAAGAAAATAAAGTGAAGTTAAGTTCTTGTCCAGGTCAAAAGTATAATTTCCCTGGGTCTTCGTTTCGACCATTGTTGTAACGAAACGAAAAAACTTAGAATGTAACGCACTGCACCACTACAATCGGCCATTTCGTCCTAAGAGGCCATTGAGGCAGGACAGCACGTCGTTGATCAGTATCGCGACAAATCGCATAAATAGGTCCCTCCTTGGGTTTTTGTTTACTAAAAAGTCAATTTCTTTGGACGGTTTTTTGCAACTAAACAACGGATTAATTTTATTGTTTATTTACACAAATGTAGTGTCTGTAGGGGTAAACCCATGATTTAAATAGTAAATGTATAGGGTAAATAGGTTTTTGTCTGTGGTGTCTTTTAGGCATAAATCTAATTTCTTTGGTCCTAATTTCCTTGTTTTCCGTGGCATAAAATGACCTAGGAAATTATAAAAGACCATTAATAATTCGGCGTAAAGTCAAATTTTGAGTATTTCTTTATTGGAATAAGTTTAAAATTTACATTTTAAGAAATAGGTATCAGAATAGATATAGAAAAACTTGTTTTTAACTTTTAACTCAATCTACTGCATTTATCTTCCTTAGTTGTGTAAAAAGGTCGTAATGATATAATATTCATTGGCATGTTTGCTTGCAAAAGTACACAAAAATAGGTCGAACAAAAAAAAATCAAACCAGAGAAGAAAACTTAGAGAAAAAAATATTTGTAATAATTTCCTTGGCTACCAAAAGTTTATGACCTCATAACTTTGTTTCTAAAACGAATTATGACACCCCTTCTAGATATATTAGCTTAGTTTTTACTACTTAATGCAATGGGAAACTAAAAATAGTTAAAAACAAGAATAAAATTCGTGCCAAGGAAATTAGGCAAAATTGACCATTTTTGGCGAAATACCCAGGCCTGCCCACACTACGTTTTCCGGCTCGTGGTCACCCCCAAGAACTTTCCTGCCCCAGCGGCCATCAGCTCTACGAGCTACTTGCCGCATCCACTGCCACTTGATTTTAGCGATTCTGCGGGCTATGTCAGTCTCGGATCGGTCGGTTGGATCTCGTCATTTTTCTCGCTTACAGACATTTAACAGGAGCGAAGTAGCTAGTGTGTACCTATTCGTTATTTGGACTTGAATGTTTAATGCATGGTGTTGTTTGAGTATTTATAGCCTGACCATGAACATAAAAACCCTCGCCATGTTGCGGAAAACTAATGGTACTAATTTCTTTTAATGGCAACAGTAACTGAAAACTTCATTAACATGTCACCTTGCATGTCAGTCTATTGCTGTCAAAATGTAAACAAACTTTATTTTAAATGTGCGCAATTGATTTTGTGAATTAAATTGCTAAAATCTTTTTATAGTCGTGAAAGAAAAGTGGTTCACAATGTGTTAAAGTATTTGTCGAAGAGAAATACTAAGGGTTCGGACAATATTTTCATTGATCATAATGTTTCCGACAATGGTTGTCAAATTGACTGACATGTTTATCGTATAGTACAGTCCACTATGAAAATTAGCTGTGGTTTGTTTCAACTACCTATTTAATTTTTTTTTTGTCACAGTACCGAGTTTGAAGCGTTCATGAGCAGACATTGCAGTTGAATATTCAAGTTCTGAATTTGATTATTGATGAATAATAAAATAAATCCTACTGGCTCGATTGATGGTTTCATTTAATTTATTTAAACCAGGTTACTTATAACAATATTTTTTCGTTAATTTATGAAAATATCAAATTAGCCCGTAATCCTTAATCCTGATACATAAAGTTAGTCTATTAATTTAACACAGGTACGACTGTACTCAGTGTTGCACTATCAAATGCAATTGACGCGCCTCTATGCCAGGGTTTTTATGTTCCTGGTCAGGCTATAAATGTTTAATTGTATCAATCCATAGTATCAATCAGCATCAGTCACTTAATTTATTGAATTGAAATGAATGAATTTTGTAATGAATTTAATATCAATCATCCATCCATCGTCATCTACATAAATAGTTGTAAGCAATACAATTTTATTTCAAAATCAAGAAATACTTGACTTGAAACACTGATTAAATGTGCAAAACCCTCGATGTCCAAGCCCATAATCCTAAAAATAGTTACGTGAAAGTGATTCATTTCACGCAGTTTTCGATTTTATCTACCTATGCCATTATTCAAATTAACCAGCAATCATTGATTGAATTTTAATCACATTAATTTTTATTAAAAATACAAATAATTTACACTTGGTGTATCCGCACGTACACGCATTTTATTTATGCTTTGATTTTAATATCTAAAATCCAGATTCTAGTCATGTAAATTGGAACACATTCGTTCAGAAATTATGATTGACTTTTTGCCTTTTCAAATTTTTATTTTCTGTCATATATTCTTTTAAATACCTATGTCAATGTTTACAAATAATTTAATGTCTGTAGTAAGTTTTATTAAAATAAACTTGCATGGTAAGTTTTCAATAGTACGAAAAGGCAGTTTAGGATTTCCACCCCATGAAAATTAAAAAGGTTGCGGCGCAGCGTGGGTGCATTCGCGTCGTGCGTGAGTCAAGTTAGGGGAGGAGGTGAAATAATTCATTCAGTCTCTGGCAACCGTCGAGTGTAGTCGGGAACTGAAGAGTGCTCCTGTTGGAAGAGACAGTGTTTTTAAATTAAAGTGTTGTTGTATGATGGTGGTGACTTAAACATGGGCGACTTACGAAACATTGAGGTAGTGAGCCAAGAAGAGGAAGTGGTTGACCAAGGGCCACAAAAGACGCCACAAGAGGCACCACAAGAGGCACCACAAGAGGCACCACAAGAAACACCACAAGAAAAGCCTCAAGATGCAGTAGTTGTTGAGCAAGGCACCATCGAGACGGATAAGAAGGATTTGTTGTGGATGGGCGGCGTTGCGGAGTGTTTTACAACTGTGCTGTCACTGTTTGGGCGCGCTGATCTGAAGATTTCGAAGGGTAAGTGTTTTTGTTTTTACAAAATTTATAATCTCCTACTGTATTTGTCAAGGTCGACCTGCTACGCAACTTTTCGAAGAGTTGATTGATTTTAGAGATGCTAGCTTGTTATTTACGAATTTTTTGCTAAATTTTTGATGATTTTTTGTGCTGCAGTGTCTATGACAGAGTCAAATCAAGTTGATTCTTATTAGAATTTTTTTGTGCTTGCAAAATTATTATTCTCTGGGCATAAGTAATAAAAATTGAAGTTACATAGTTCAAAACAAGGCAGCTAAATTGAATACAATTCCTCCCAGGGACATATTGATTAAAATTATGGTCAATACTGACTGAAATACAATCATTACACACAGCAATCTTAGATTTATTATTCATGAAAGCCAAGCATTTAATAAAAGCTTTGGTTTAATATAAAAATCTGGACTGAAAACATCATGCAGGTGTCTACCAATAGGGCAACATGGAAAGCATTGGGGGAGGCCTATGTTCAGCAGTGGACGTCCTATGGCTGAAATGATGATGATAATGAATAAAAATTTCAGTCAAAAAATGGAAACAAAAATAGTATTCCATTAATTAAAATTTTCATCAATCAAAATAATAATTGACTGTAATGTAATATTTCAAAACAAGCTGATTTGACTTAAAACAAATGTTCTATTCTTTTGGGTGAATTATATGAATATTCATAATTGAATCAGGTAATTAATCCTACTATCCTACTAATATTATAAAGGTGAAAGTTTGTGTGGATGTTTGTTACCCTTTCATGCAAAAACTACTGAACAGATTTGGTTGAAACTTTAAAGTATTATTATTTGTAACCCTGATTAACATATAGGCAATTTATGCAAATCTGTGTCACTAAATTTCACGCGGGTGAAGCTGCGAGCAAAAGCTAGTAATAATATAAATTGGGGGAGGCACATCTTCAGCAGTGGACAACAGTGGCTGAAATGATGATGAAATCAGCTATAACTATTTATAAAATTAAGGCATTTGGCCAATGCTGTGTTTTTCAAATGCGATTTATTTATCCTGATGCTGAGCAAGCTAATGCGAGATCCAGTCCAGCAAAATCAATAGTGTAATTCAAACATAAAATGGCAGGAGTGAAGGAGAGACGGAGTACTCCATTGATTTATTAATTGATTTCGCGGATCAAAAAGAAGGGTAGTTTCAACATGAGATAGCAATAAAAGGGAGGGATAAGAATAGTACTCATAGATGGCAAGAAGAAAAGAGGGAGGGAATAGGCACAGTACTCCATTAATTTATTGATTGATTTCGATGATCAAAAAGAAGGGTAGTTTCAACATGAGATAGCAATAGGGGGGAGGGATAGAAATAGTACTCATTGATCTATTGATTGATCTCGAGGATCAAACAGGAGCATAGTTAATAGCATAAAGATGGCAAGAAGGAAGGATCAGGTAACGGACGGAGTACTCCATTGATTTTGAGGATCAAAAAGGAGGGTAGTTTCAACATGAGATGGCAATAGAGGGGAGGGATAAGAATAGTACTTATTGATTGATCTTGCGGATTTAACACGAGCGTAGTTAATAACATAAAGATGGCAAGAAGGAATGATCAGGGAACAGACGGAGTACTCCATTGATTTGATAGATTTTGAGGAACAAATATGATGGTAGTTTCAACATGAGATGGCAATAGAGGGGAGGGATAAGAATAGTACTTATTGATTGATCTTGAGGATTTAACAAAAGATGGCAAGAAGAAAGGAGGGAGGGAACGGACGGAGTAGGTACTCCAGTGATTTATTGATTGATTTTGAGGATCAAAAAGGATGGTAGTTTCAACATGAGATAGCAATAGGAAGGAGGGATAGGAATAGTACTTATTGATTGATCTTGAGGATTTAACAGGAGCATAGGGCAACAGGAAAGTAGCAGTGGCGTAGCGTGGCTTTTCGCCGCCCGGGGCCGTCCGGAAATCCGCCGCCCTTTATTTTAATTATAAATATTTTAAAGTTTAAATATTATATTGAATGGACTTCAGGTACACTATTCACCTTATTTGTTGAAAGTCAAAATAAACTACCACGCACTGCTTCAGAAGGAAAATACATTAAAGAGAAGCAATTGCTTGAAACCCACAGGAAGTTTGATTTTCTTAAATAGCTCAGCTTTATTATGTAAAACTAGGTGTATAACAATAAACAATAATAACAAGTATTAAAGTATTTATTTGTCAATTGAGAGTAAATATTATCTTAAATTATATACAGTGTGAGTCACGTTAAAGTGTACATATGAAAATAGATGAAACTATACCTATTTTTATCGACAAAAAAGTGGTCAAAAATTTTTTGAGATTTTTTTTTATTTTTTTATAGAATTTTTTTTCTTCCAATTACTTATTGTAAAGAAAACGTAATAACTTTTAACTAAGCGGTATATCCTGATAAAATAAAAACAGTAATAATGCTAAATAACAGGCAATACTAAAAAAATACATAAAATACACAAAAAAGGCCAACAAATAATNGCATGTCTCTATCCCTATCACAACATTTGCTATGATCGTTTGAACAAAGGCCTGCCACAACATAATTCTCCGCTACAGGTAGAGACAATTTTAATTTTAACTAAAATGCTTATTTTACTTCGAAATCTTTTGTTTTTTTTTGAAATCTAACTTGTTTTTATCGATATTACAAATCTAGAGCCATTTTCAGTTTCGTTGTTAACGAAGCGTTGAATGGCGCGCCCGGAGAGGCTTAGTTCAAACGATCATTGCAAACATTGTGATAGGGATAGAGACATGCGATTTTTGGTTTTACGAAGGTAATACGATGGAGAATAATACAAAGTAATAAAAACCAGACCTCTTTTTTGTCGATAAAAATAGGTCTAGTTTCATCTATTTTCATATGTACACTTTAACACCTTTGCTGCGGCAGTAACTTTCTAATACTTTCCATTCCTTCGGTACAAGGTCTGTAAACCTGGTATTAAAACTTACATTGTGGCGGCACAAGGCTTAAAGACCTTGTAATATTTAAAATATATTAATTTTATTTTTGGCTTCATGTTAATAGATATTGTGTTTTTTTTCTTTGAATATTAATAATTATGCATTTATTGACATACACCTGAAGGCGTTCGTGAANGCCACTGGAAAGTAGGGAAGGGAATGGAGTACTTTATTGATTGATAAAAAAAAAAATTATTCAGGTTAGATTCAAAAAAGAAAAGGTAGCTCTTATGGGGCACTTGTCTGTCTTTGTCATGTCTCCTTATCTTTTGGGCCCTACCAGCGCTGATCTCAGTGATCACATAGAAGATACTGAAAACATGAGATGGCAAGAGGGAAGAAGAAGGCCTATATTTCACCGGGACACCATGGCGGCGCAACCAGTCGCCGGCTACCAACAAAATGTATACAGCTCTATAGAGAGTTACTCACCTGGTGTCCGTTTGGTTGCGCAAAGCTCTATACATTTTGTTGGTATCCGGCGACTGGTTGCGCCGCCATGGTGTCCCGGTGAAATATAGCCCGAAAGGTTCATTGATGTATTGATTGATTGATAATGGGAGACAGGATAGGAGGCAGCTGCAATATCCGATGGTTGAAAGAAAGAAGTGAGGGTTTTGAGTTGTAAATAATTCATTGATGATTGTCTCTTTAGAATCATAGGTCTGCAATATACATATATGGAATAATTTGGCATTAGTCATAGTCATAGTCATTTAATTCATAAACAATAACATTAAGAAAATATATTGGAAGTGTAGAAATATACACAAATATGGAGGGGCTACAAATAAAATCAATAATTTTGTCAGTGCGAGCTAAAGTTTTTTTTAGTGTAGCTTGCTACTTTAATTCTGTTTTGTTACTGCTAATGTCGAGTTACTTATGTTACACAATTGATTGGTATGTTAGATAATGATCTATCTTATAATTAATTATACTCTAATTTTGTCAACAGACGAAAGCTGGGTCGTGCCGTATGAGGAGCTCACAGAAATGTCTTATGTCGGCTCGGGGGCCCAAGGCACCGTCTTTAAAGGCCTACTGCGTGGTGAAATCGTCGCCTTCAAAAAAGTGAAGTCTCACTCTGAGACAAACATAAAACATCTGAGGAAATTGAATCATGACAACATTGGTAATTAACTCTGATTTAATTCACCTATCACTATGTCAAACAGTATAATAGAAATATTAAAAACTACAACTATTATAAAGTAAACGGCTTACATTTTAAAGGAGAAGCATGTTTAATTACATAAATAAATAAATAAATCTTTGGACAATTTCACACAGCGCCAGCTAGCCCCAAAGTAAGCAACTTAATGCTTGTGTTATGGGTGCTAGTTAACGGATATACTACTTATATACTTTTTTTTACATACTAATTAGAAAAAAAATTTTTAGTTCAATTCCGTGGCATCTGCACCAAGTCACCTAATTTTGGTGTGATTATGGAGTACTGTCAGTATGGGCCGCTGTACGATTACATCCATGGATCCAACCAGTTCGCTCCGAAGCAGCTTCTGAAGTGGGCCAAGGAGATAGCGCTGGGTTTGGCCTACTTGCATACTCACAAGATCATTCATCGGGACTTGAAAAGCCCTAAGTAAGTTAATAAAAGAGTAATTCAATTATATTATCTATATATATATAAAAGAAAGTCGTGTTAGTTACTCCACTTATAACTCAAGAACGGCTGAACCGATTTAGCTGAAAATTGTCAGGGAGGTAGTTTAGAGCCAGGAGAAGGACATAGGATACTTTTTATCCCGTTCGAAATTAAAAAAAAAGTCTGCTTATTTATTGCCATTAAGGCGGAACAAAGTTCGTCAGGTCAGCTAGTAGATTATAATAAAAAAGTTGTGTGTTGATTCATTCTACCCCTTTTTGTTTTAAATAAAAAATGCCTTATTCACATTGCTCTTTTTGATGCGCATTCGGTGCGGCGACACAAAGAGTCTAAACAAGCAAACTTTTGCAGCATTCTGGTCGCTGATAACCTGGTGCTCAAGGTTTCCGACTTTGGGACGTCACGCGAATGGAATGACGTTAGCACGATCATGAGCTTCACCGGCACTGTGGCCTGGATGGCTCCCGAAGTGATTCGCCACGAGCCCTGCTCTGAGCGGGTGGATGTGTGGTCTTATGGCGTGGTGCTGTGGGAACTGTTGACCCAAGAAATCCCTTACAAGAACGTAGAGACTCATGCCATAATGTGGGGTGTGGGCACCGATACCGTGCGCCTTCATGTCCCCGCGACCATCCCAGGGAGTTTCCAGTTGCTGCTGAATCAGTGCTGGAACCGTACGCCCAGGAACAGGTAGGCTCAACACTGGTTTACTACCTACTTTTTGAACTACCTTCATGGTCCTTTGAGCCGGATTATGCTCTTACATAATTTATAGTGTGGTGGCTCAAAATAATATTACTTTGTTACTACATAAATGAATATCAGTATTTATCCAATTTGTGATTGTCCATAGGCCTCCGTTTAAGATCATTGCCGCTCACCTGGATATCGCGGCTAATGACTTCATAGCTCTGGAAGATGATTTTGTGGCTACCCAAGGAGTCTGGCGGGAGGAAGTGCAAGATGCTATGGAAAGACTCTATGTGAAGTAAGTATAGGGTTCTTTTTAGGTGTTTCTCACTATTAAACATAAACAACTTGTTCTACGTTTTCAAATTCACAAAAAGGTATTTTTCTTGAAAATTAAAATTTCATATTGAGTCGAAAAGCGATTAAGAGAAGTTGATATCTAGTAACAACAAATATTAAACGAACTTATTATGGTAAAAAGACGCCTAGTAAAAAGATGACACCAATTTATGTTTGAACCACCAATAAATCTATATACAACGTGTCCCAAAATTCAAGGATAAGCCGCCGCCGCAGGATGGACATAGTCATGACTACTTTAGGAAAAATAAGAAAAAAAAATATCTCAATTATTTTTTAAGTTACACAATAAATTATGAAATTCGTCGAAAATTGACACCCCTTATGATATTTTACATTACCACGACCACAATTTTTCAAATACTTCTGTTTTTTTGTTTGTATCGGCAACTTAAGTAGTGCTGCTGTCCTCTCAAATTCTTAAAACCCTCAGAATCTTTGCAGTTTTTGCACAAAAGGTAATCAAAATATGATATTTCCTTAAAATTTTGAAAGATTTTTACTTTCACTCCACTTTGACTCGTCGTTTTGTAATAAAACAGTATGAACACTACTGCGGCAAGTTTTTTATAAAGTTGCCGCAACTATCCAAGATTCCAAAATGGTATAATACTCTAAGAAAACTAGTCGCAATAAAGATATGCGTACCATTTTTACAAGCACTTCGCTTGTTAGTTAGTATGGGATAAATCTTGCAATTAAATTTAAAACCAGCTCTCCTCAACCAATTGAGCTGAAATTTGGTATCCTTATGTAAGTACGATGACATTGCAATATTATGGTATCATTGAGCTGGATGGAGTCTGGAGGTGGCCATAGGAACTTCTAAACGAAACGGCGGAATCGCATCTAGTTTGGGTTCGTTGGATATCTTTTTGAGCACTTTAGTGCTAGATGATGTCCAGGGTCCTGATGATGAAGTCAAGAGCTGGCCAGGAGCTGGCCAAAGGAACTCCTAATCGAAATGGCGGAAGATTATCGAGTTTGGGTTCGTTGGATTTGACTTCCCGAGCACTTGGACCATGAGATTGAGAAACAACTAAAAAGTGTTTGCGCTACAAACTTTCGAAATTATTTGAACCTTGCATACAATTATTTTATCGTTAAATTCTTTCGTAAAATTTCGCATTAATGCTTGTTTTTAAAAAAGTTTTTTTTTATTATAACTTTATTTTACACTTTTTAGTTGTTTCTCAATCTCATGGTCCAAGTGCTCGGGAAGTCAAATCCAACGAACCCAAACTCGATAATCTTCCGCCATTTCGATTAGGAGTTCCTTTGGCCAGCTCCTGGCCACCTCTTGACTTCATCATCAGGACCCTGGACATCATCTAGCACTAAAGTGCTCGAAAAGATATCCAACGAACCCAAACTAGATGCGATTCCGCCGTTTCGTTTAGAAGTTCCTATGGCCACCTCCAGACTCCATCCAGCTCAATGATACCATAATATTGCAATGTCATCGTACTTACATAAGTATACCAAATTTCAGCTCAATTGGTTGAGGAGAACTGGTTTTAAATTTAATTGCAAGATTTATCCCATACTAACTAACAAGCGAAGTGCTTGTAAAAATGGTACGCATATCTTTTTTGCGACTAGTTTTCTTAGAGTATTATACCATTTTGGAATCTTGGATAGTTGCGTCAACTTTATAATAAACTTGCCGCAATAGTGTTCATACTGTTTTTTTACAAAACGACGAGTCAAAGTGGAGTGAAAGTAAAAATCGTTTAAAATTTTAAGGAAATATCATATTTTGATTAACTTTTGTGTAAAAACTGCAAGGATTCTGGGGGTTTTAAGAATTGAAGTGGACAGCAGCACTACTTAAGTTGCCAATACAAACAAAAAAACAGAAGTATTTGAAAAATTGTAGTCGTGGTAATGTAAAATATCATAAGGGGTGTCAATTTTCGACGAATTTTATAATTTATTGTGTAACTTAAAAAATAATTGAGATAGATTTTTTTTCTTATTTTTCCTAAAGTAGTCATGACTATTTCCATCCTGCGGCGGCGGCTTATCCTTGAATTTTGGGACACGTTGTATATAAAAGAAAGTCGTGTTAGTTACTCCACTTATAACTCAAGAACGGCTGAACCGATTTAGCTGAAAATTGTCAGGGAGGTAGTTTAGAGCCAGGAGAAGGACATAGGATACTTTTTATCCCGTTCGAAATTAAAAAAAAGTCTGTTTATTTATTGCCATTAAGGCGGAACAAAATTCGCCGGGTCAGCTATATTAAATAAAATACTAAAAAGAAAAGAGTTCCATTACTTATCAATATCATTTAATATACCTGTCGGCCTCATGTTACTCAACATTACACAATAAAACAGAAAAACAAGTAAAAATGCATATACTTATAACCTGTCTACAGCTTGAAGTTGCTATCGAGTATTTACACATTTCATGTGCGCGTTAGCCGTTCTTTCTATAAACAAAGTGCTTAAGATTGTTCTAGTTTTTGTTGTTGATTGTTTTTATGTTTAATTTAATTATGCGTGCTATCTGGAATTGGATAAAAATAGAATGAAAAGCAATAATATTGATCCCAAAAGACTTGTGACTTGAAACATGCGATTTATAAAGGCAAACGTGACGTACCTACTTATAGTGTGATAGTTTGAAATCACATACAATACCCCATAATCATGTAATCTGAAAGCGATAGATACGCAGGCTGGAAACGACAAAATCTTGATACGATATGGTCTTCGGTCAATAAACTTGTATTTGCGTTTGCGCAACACAACAAAAAATTTCGAAATTTTCTTTTAATATATATATAATTTGTATATCTTAGCTCATGAGTGTGTACTATCAACTACAATTTTCGAAATCGTAACTTTTGATGAGGCATTTTAGTTACATCACATTTTGAATTTGAAAAATGAGCTCTGCTGCCTACATCTTTTTTTCATTTATTTAACAAGTAAACAAGACAGTTACATTTAGCATTGAGAAACCACTAGGGTTTGATAAAAGTTAACGAGTTCAACACTTGAGCCAAGGCCACGGGTCGGGGGCCTGGGCATTTTGCTACCTGCCACCCTGTAGTTGCGCCACTGCCCCTATTAGAGCTGGTCCAGTCTACAAAGTGCCCTGGTGCTCTAGGACGGAGCAGCCTTCGCTGTCGGACGCTATGCAACGCCGCGAGGAGCTGAACAAGGCGCAGTGCGCTCGCGAGGTGTACGAGGCCCAGCTGTCGCGCGCCAATGAGCTCTACATGGAGGTATGCTCCGTGAGGCTTCAGCTGGAACAGCGCGAGCAGGCTCTGTTGGAGTGAGTATTCACAAACTGAAAGCACAAAAAAGATTTCGTGTTCATTATTTATTTGTGTACACCTTTTCAGTGAAATAGAAATGCTGAACAGCAAACATTGCTGGTTTCTGATTAAATTGTACTCAAGCAAGTTGCCCAATTTGTACCTAACGACTCGAGAATCTTTCGCCAAATAAAACACTACAAAATATGGCGACGAGACGCGTCTCTTAATCCCATTTGTGAAAACAAATGACAGTGCAAACTTCGGACTTCACACTAGCGGCGCCAGATGGTGTAAAATTAGCTTCCCGAGACAAGACCATAAGATACTCCAAAATAGCTTCAATAAAAAGTGGCATTCACGTGTGTGTGATTTTGTAAATTAATATCAAGCTCTTAACTGGAATAATAAAAGAACAATAAAAAAATGTACAATTGAAAGAACGAAAGAAAGAAATTGAAGTCAAGAATTCCTTCTTACCAACTCAAGTAATACAATCACACTAATAATAACGTTTACCTAAATTTAAAATTTTTACCATTCCATGAAGACCGAAAAGTGACCGGTCGCGGTCGTATAAAAACGTTTCATGGATTTGCGTTTTATTACCGAAAAACATTCGCTAAATCTCATTTTTTTTAACAAATAATAATCTAATTCATGTTTAAATGCAGTTTATGACATAATTTTTAAATTGTCACTATTAATATTTTTTACTGATAAACCTGTAAAAGTTAATTCTACAATTTCTGAAAAATCACCTAAAAGTAACCTTTTCATTAGTGTAACCTAAAAGTAACCAATGCAGTTCAAAAGTAACCTAAAAGGTTACAAAAGTAACCTTCTGGCAACACTGAATAAAATTCAAAATGTTTTTGCTACCAACAAAATTTTGTGCTGCCAACATACATGTTGGCGATTTACAAATCGTCACTGGTTTTGTACTTCTGTGTCAGTCTTCCCCAAGTGCCCAGGTCTTCGAAGCCCCGACTGACCGGTCCCATTGTTCCAGACGTGAGCAAGCGCTCAACAAGGCTTGCCGTTGCGGCCTCCGGAAGAAGTTCTTCCAGCGTCAGCTGTCTTCCTCATCCGACGGCTTGAAGAAGGCTTATGGCCCTCCGGCCAACGCTGGCGGCTGCTGCAAGAAGAAGTCCGAGGGCATCCCCGCCCAAGTGCTGCTAAGCTTCGACGAGAACAACCCAGACCAGCCGATCTCCGTCGTCGTAAAGGAGGAACAGGAGAGCACCTGCTGCGACTGCTGCGATGACCGCTTCGAGAACAACAACATGGCCACCGTCAAAGATACGGTGGTTGAGAAAAACGGTAACGTAGACTTCGTCGAGAAGTTCCAGAAGTTGGACAACTACATGTCCAACGTGGCTCAAGTCTGAAGTCCTTTCGGCTTGAGATATTACAGGGAGGTGAGGAGGGCGTGCAACTAAGTTTAGTTAATGATCCCTTAGGGAAGTCGCATGACATTATTATAATTATTATAGCTGTGTAATCATTGATACGTGTGACTTAGATTTCGTGCAGATTGACTACGTCGATTCCAACTTCTCACTACGTGGCCCGAGAGATTACGGTCACTTTTGTGTCGTTGCAGATATGTGGAAGCTCACGCCCCCCTCCCGTATTATTCAAAGATTTATAGGGTTGTTATTTTTAACTTAACAATTGGGGTCATGCTTTAATGCAATTTGAGGGTTGTCACCATGTTATGTCTTCTGCTATTACCTTACGTATTTACGTACCTCACGAAAGTATTTTGTTTAAAATGAACCCTCATACCTGATTGCTCTCTCATCCATAAAAAGCTTTTTATACCAAACCGGTATGTACTTAATTTATTTGCTCAAAAAGGTGGCAACCCTATAAATAGAGGGACCTTTTTAAAGTCGTTAAAAATAAACAAAAAAATACAAAAAAAAAGTTGGTGTACGTGTCGATTATATACGGCGTATCTGTCGTTTTACTGTAGCATGATGGACTGTATGTTATCCTTTCGATGCACATTTGCAGTCTTTTTGTGCCTAAAGAAGACCTGAGCTACTCCACTTTTTATTCTTTGACATCTCTCGCCTGCGCTTGGGCATCATTCTTGTTATTTTATGAGTAACGACAAACGTACAGATTTATGATCTTTTTCGTCACACGGATTCGAAAAGACTGCAAATCCTTTATAGATGTTTCAATACAATAACATATTGCTCAGCTCCCTAGGTGAGCGCTCTACATTCCGAGGCACTGACCCTTTTCGTGCCCTTATACACTACTTCTAAGAAAATCTGGGATTTATTTCTTTCCTAGGAAATTTTAAAGAAATCATTTTTCAGGGCAATTCTGATTTATTACGTTTGAGATTAATAACAGTGATATCTTGGCTTTAAACATGAATATGGACTCTTGAAATATTTTTTTTTATATTGTGAAGAATTAGCCCATTATGATTTATTCCTTTTTGATTACCTTGTAATCTGGATAGGCGTTAAACAACTGTACTTCCTTGATAAGTGTTACCTATTCTTCGATCATGTGTTTACTCCACGAACTTGCGCTATATCTGTATCTGTATGACCTACAGGTTATCTAGTCAAAAAGAACTAGTCTAAAATACTTTTTTACAATGACATAATGTTATTTTAATGCAAATTTTAGATCTCGAACTAACATGCCTGTTGGATTTATTCAACTGACATTTTAAATTAAGATGGCGCATAGTATCGTTTGTTAAGATTTAATTTATTATTTAAGTTGTAAAAATGGTTATCGAAATCAGCTTTACAATTTTATTAAGTACTCTTGTTATATTAATTTAGTTTTAGCTGGCCTAAAACTTTTCTAGTTTTGGTTATAATGATCGAATTTTCTTTAGATCTGCACATTTTTTTGTATAGGTTGTGATTTTATTTTGTTTATTTTGCCTGAAAATGTAATCTCATATTTTTTTTGTTATAAAGTTATATTTTGGTGCTTTTGCACGTTATTTCTTAGCTATATTGTATGATTTTTGATCAGTTTCGGCGATTGGTAAGTGCGTCGTGCACGCATTTATGGTTTTGGCAAATATGAATTATATTGGAGAAGAGAAGTGACTTGATAGTAGTTGATATTGATATTTTTGTAACATATTTTTTGCTGCGCGTACCACTTTGAATAGGCTTGAAAAGTACTATTTTAACGTAGGTTGAATCGGCCTGTTTGACACGCCAAAGCAAAGTATATGTTAGTGATGGGCAGAGACGCGGGAGGCGTAGGGACGCATGCGTGCGCGTTTATGCGCAATAGTATTTTTTCACTTAAAAATTAACGCACGCATATGTACATATAAGCCTGTCATTACGTCAGGCTTTTATGTGATAGGCCTTACATCACGAAACGATTTCTATTTATTCGACTATTCATCTCTCTCGCTCCCACTGAGTATATTATGTGTGAAAGAGATGCATGGAATGTGTATTTGGAAATCGTTTGTAGGATCTGTAGTTGTGAAAATTGTAATATACTTAAAATAACCATTCGGTTCAGCTTAAAATATTTTTTCGGATATCAAAATTAAAAACGTATGGTTTGTGTTTAAACTAAAAGGTTTATTTTTTCTAACGTTGGCCTTTAACACGAAATGCATTTAAATTTTATAAAATAATGTGACTTTAGCCTGACTATTTTTTAATATTCTTTACCAAAGATGTCAAATAAAGGTGTACGAAATGCATGGATTTGATGACGATTCCAAAAAGTAAGATCTCATTTTTTGTATAGTCATTATTTAACAGTACATTAAATTCGTCCTTTTAATAAATAAATTAACTCACGTCTATTACGTTTACTATATAAAGCCAAAGGCCAGCCCATTTACTCTTATATTTAAGTTCCAAATATTTTGTTTGTTTTATTAACATAAGTTTGTTACAAGACTGCTACAAGTCAAGTATTTTTGATGCGACTTTACTATTTCTACAATTATATGTATATACCCGTTCAGAAAACTCACGTTGAATACAACTGGTAATGATAACCACCAAATTATACTATTCTGAACTTTATGTCAGTTAAGTTTAAGATTGAAGATTCGAAATACTGGTCGATCTCACCTCTTTCTAAGTCCGGCGTGTATCTTGACGGGTATTCTTCAACTCTCGCTCAAGCACGTTGCCAATTTCATTTTGGACCTTACTGCCTTGGAGTAAGGATTTAAGTTCTATTTATTTTTTTCGTCCTAAATGAAAAACCGTGACGTGCTGAGCCTTAGAAATCGGTGTTTAAAATTAAGTTAAGTCCATTTCAATGAAAACACAATAGGATTTTTGATTCGTTCATATTGTTTGTATAAGTCGTATTTATACTTCAGCGCATGTTATTTTAACTAAGTTATGTTATGAGATAAAGTTTGAGTTACCGTTCAATTACTCTCTAGGTACAATTTAGTGACCTATTGTGGTTTTATGAAAATTTGGACTAGATATAAGTACTTAATAAGTCATTATTCTAGCATTTAGATATCATGTTAGCCATCTGCGATTTGCAAAGATATTATAATGTAGACGATTTATGTGGCAGCCGTAAAAAAAAGAAAAGAAAACGACAACAAAAATCTGTGACTGAAACAAAAGAAGATATTTTAACAGTGAAAAAGCTGCGTGGAATCCACGTATGCAAAAATCGATTCCAAAACTATTACAGTTCATTGGTGTCATTTTGAAACCATTTATATTATTAAAAAAAAAAACATTAATCTATGGGAAAGTTAAGACAGTGTGAGTTGTCATCTCACCTTTGCGCAAATACCATAACCAGCTAAAAGTCCCCTAGATTTCAAATAAAAAACATCATCAATACGCTGGTGTACAGTCGCAGGCACTTGAGTAATATAGTACTTATCGCTACTGCGTAAGGTGTATAACTTGAGTGACCGATCACCTGCGCATACGCAGCCAGAATGACAACAATTCACTACGCTGGCACAAAAAGATAATAAAATTAAAATCAAAAATTTCTCTCCCTTTCTTTCTGGCCATTAATTTTAAATAGTTTTTTTTTGGGAATATCGGATTCGTTACCAGAGTTTTCAGAACTGGCTTTTCGAACTAGTATTTTTGCGAATCGTGGATGTCATTATTATTTGTACTGCCCTGTGTACTAAGTTTTAAGACTGATTCTAAAGCACACCAATGTATCAAGCATTCGACCGAGTGATTGCACTCAACCGCCAGTGTTAACTGAAGGCGTTCTGTTGTAGCTAAGATTCAGTCATCTTCTGTTTGATGCACCCAGGGTCTTTAAATTAATTTACAGGGTGTTATGTGTTTTGAATTGTCGGTGAAATGATCTCGACCCTGGGTTTGTAGCATGTAAGTTTAGCTCATATTACATGTAGCGTATGTGAATCAATAAAGATTATTCCAAAATATGCATTTTTTTCCAAACTCAAATTACCTCACATACTTACTCACAGGACTATTACCACCTCTCGTTCCCACCACTGCAACTCCTGTGTAGCCAGGATCTACAGCTTGACCGCCACCAAAAACCCAACTAATGAAGGTCAAGTTTGTCCCGAGGGAAAGTTAAACTGTCATTGGACCCGCAACGAAATTAATCAGAAGAACGTAGGAGTTCGAAATTAAGGTTCGACTTCCCTCCATTGCAAAGCGGATGACAGGTGACAAACAAAGATTTAAAACCTTTAAGAAAAGATTATGCACCACAGACAATAAATATCAATTAAGGGGGCCTATCTTATGTGCAATTAGCAACTACCTACCAATACTCGTAATATTTACTCACAAACTTACTCGTAAGAAATTGAAAATAGTCATTACCTAAACGGCTTTAAGCAGTTAACACCCACACAAGCTTCATTCTATTTTAATATATTTTCCATTCCATCTTTCTATATCTATAAAAGTGAAAGGTCACTGATTGACTGACTGACTCACTCACTCATCACGACATCTCAGAAACTACAAGTGCTAGGAGTCTCAAACTTTGCATTGGGGGTTCCTTTTAGAACGTAGGTGCTCACTAAGAACGGATTTTACGAAACTTCACCCCTAATGGGGTAAAAAGGGATCCACGCGTACGTAGTCGCGTGCGGCCGCTAGTTTATTATAAAACTTCAAAAACAGGTTCATCGTAAATAAAAGATATCTATCAATGATAGTTCACTTTTTCTATAGTTTGATAGAAGACATTACTTTAATTCGGTATTTGTCTAGTACCTAATTATAGAGGGTAGAAGGAAATTAATGTCTGTCAATAATCACGTTGCTGGTACTGATTTCGTATCTGCTAAAAACCACAGAATGCTCAACGATGCCGTTTAGGGGTAGTTTTATTGCACTTGGAGTTGTGTCATAAACAGAGGGAAGAATATAAAAGTGTAGGTACTACAGTAAGCCACGGCACTAACCTCGTAACTTGTGTGAAATGAAGTGAAATATTTTATCTTTAGTGATAACTTTGCTCCAGTCTTTTCTCTGACAGATATGGAAAGGTGACCTTTCTTTTGGAGTGCCAATTAAATTGAAAACAACTTTTTACTATCCAACTACGCCAGAAGAAGAGTTATGTTTTTTGACACTAGTAGGTAGATACCTACTTCAAATTAAAAATTACTGAACAGAATTTAGTGAAGAGTGTGATTTTCTTCGTGCAACTTGGCAAATACGGTAGCATCTTACGAGCTGTCGACAACCTGGCAAAAAGACAAGGCGCCCTTCCTTCCACGAGGGCGCAGCGCAGGCGCCGCGCGAAGGCCGCCCAGATCAGCTGTTCGCAAAAATCCAGCCGTTGGAATTGGCGAAAATCGCGCGCGTCAAAATTCGCTGCGCGCGTTACATTTTTCCGTAGTATTTATAGAAACAGCATCGGCGCGCTGGTGGCTACGCACACGGCAAGCCGCGCGCGGCCCGGTAGCACCGAGCTTATCTTATGGAGCCGCCAGTGTTCCGCCCTGGTGCCCTCCAGACCCACAGGGCGGCGCCCGGAACCACCGCGACCCTCGCCTTCCCGCTACCAGCCGGAACACCACCCATCCACTACGAATGGTACGTGCTATTTCTGTTCCTCCAGCTGTTGAGATTTTTCGGACACACTTTTTCCATTACGCTTAAACTTTCGCGAACCAATTTCAACCGTAGAGTGACGAGTTAAGGTGTAGATAGGGAGTGGGTGCGCGTGCGCCGCACCGGCAAGCGTTGTTTGTTTTTCACATGTCGATGTATAAATACAGAACCAGGAAGCGGCTTGGTCGTGCATTAGACAGTGAGACACACGGCATGTGTTTCAAATGTAATTATTTAATTAAATTTTTTATGACTTCAATAATGCCACGGCAAACGGTTGGTTTATCGTAAATGTGGGACCAGTGATGTGACATGTGCTCATCACTAGTTTTTTGTGTATTAATCAAGCTTATTTAAAAATAACCGATCAAGTCACGGCGCCCGGTGATAGTTGTAATTTGTGCACATGTGAAAGAATCGTGCGTGGCAATGTGTACCTACGTTTCAGTTTTTTTTTCAGTAATCTTCCTACTACGTATTTGCTTTTCTTGATATCTAAGTTAGTGGAGTGAGATTTCAGGATAATCATCAAAATAATTTAATAAAAGTTTGCATTTATGTAACTAAAGTGAAAATGATAGAGATTTGTTGAAATAATTGAGTCACCTCCACGACTGCACCTGTTCGTATACGCATTTAAATACATTCTTATACGTGATCAAAAATAAATAGCATTTCGTCGTGAATGTTGGTGTACTTACCCACTTTGTTTTAATGTTTTAGAGTAAGAGTTGAATCTCCTGAACGTTTGCTAATGTTCATACACCATAAATTATCTTTCTATCTAAATTCAAATGGGTGAAAGTCAAATTTATTATCGGGTCGTAATTAGAGATGAAACGGATATCCGGTAACTATCCGGTAGGCCGGATATCCGGCCTAAATTTACTATCCGGCCGGATACCGGATAGTAACTCACTATCCGGCCGGATACCGGATGTTAAAAAAACTACGACAATTTCCTATAATAAAATGAAATACATTAATCTTTGAGGTAAATATCAATAAAATGGCTTATAATAATGACGGCTTTTATTTAAAGTCCAAAAAATTACAAAAAAGCCATATTAAGGCCTTTCAAAACTAATTTCTTTTTCTGGGCTATTCACTCTAATGACGAATACATACATAGTAAATATCTGTTAATATCGAAATATTGTCAAATAAAATATGCGATTTTTTTTCACTGATGGTCTGATGAAATGTGCATCATGTCACTAAATTAAATTTTCGCTTTTCAATCTCACACTCACGATTGCAACCGAAATTGAATTGATCTGCCCCCTAGACAAGTGGCAAAATCTGACATTCTATTCGGACGGATTCGATTTTTGAAAAGTGTAACTAGTCAAGTCTACTAATAGACCTACGGATCGCGTTCGTAGCAACTGTGCGGCGCTATACTCGTCACGACATGCAACGAGACAATGGGCCAACTATCCGGCCGCCGGATATCCGGCTATCCGGCCTAGCAGCTGGCCGGATATCCGGTATCCGGTATCCGGCCAAACAACTATCCGTTTCATCTCTAGTCGTAATATTGCATCCTTATTACGAAGATCTGGAACTCGGAACCATCATGAATCTAGGTCATTTATCATTAATATTAACTGCAACAACATGTATCTACATTGTTATGGAGGAATGAAAACATTTGGCTGTCTCAGATTTCTTCATTGGAGATTTATAAATTGCTTTTTTAATTTTTTGTCTACTTCATAACGATGCCAGACACGTTTACCATTTACTTACCAAAAATAAATATGAGGTTATCAAGAATGTTTTCTCATTGCTAAACGAGCAACGCCCTCTATCTGTGGACTACTAGCGACACCTATCGATGATCTACGGTACTACTTATGTGGTGACATCTCGTGGATAGCAGTCGTACTATTCGCTTCAGTATTCTCATTGATCCTTTCAGGGAGAAAAGAAGTTCCAATTTTCTTTGCGGGTGGTTTGGTTTGGTTGATTACTTATTACTGAAAGTGTGCCATATTTAAGCAGTTTTAACTATTTATATAGTTGCTCATCAGTAATGATTCTAAAGATTCCCCATTCAACTTTCATCGGAAATTATCTATCTATATCTATATATATAAAAATGAAACCCGTTTCGCGTTGTCACGGCATCACGTGTGAACGGCTGAACCGATTTCGATAATTCTTTTTTTTAAATGTTTGTGGAAGTCCAAGGATGGTTCTTACGGAAAAAAATATTAAGAAAATCTCTACGCTAAGGCGGTACGAAGTTCGCCGGGTCAGCTAGTTTAAAATAAAAATGAATTGCTGTTCTTTAGTCTGATTAAAACTCGAGAACGGCTGGGCCGATTGAGCTGATTTTGGTTTTAAAATGTTTTTCGTAGTCCAGGGTAGGTCTAAACGGTGAGCAAATAAGGAAAAATTGCGATGGCTTATTTATTGCCTTTAAGGCGGAACAGAGTTCGCTGGGTCAGCTAGTAAAATATAAATGTTATTGAAATAAGATTTATTTGATCATTAGATCCTAAGATTCCTAAGCGTTAATTGAGGATTTAAAATAGTCGGTTTTAAATGTTGTTGATGAGCTGAATTTCATCAAATAACAAGACTTAAAAAAGTTAAGTATCCTAGAACTTATTATTATTACAACCACTTATTTTTCTATTATACTTAATATTATCGTGGTCTCAATAACTTTCCAAATAATAGCTTGTGTATTTTTTTTAATTTATTTATTTCATCATATCACATCAAGTGTAGAGCAAGAAAATTTTCAGTCTAAGTTCTTGGTTCTTATTTATGAGCTTACAAAATCAATAGAGAAAAGTGTGCTACGAATACGATAGTCGCATTATTTATTTACCGGTCAAACTGAAAACTACGAAGTATCTCTTTAATCTTCGCGAATCGACGACAGAAACATTGCAAAAGCGGGTCCGGCACATAAACAGGCGGCGCCACTGTAGCTGACCGAAATACACCAAGCGCTGGCGCAGTCCGCGCCTAGCTATCGCTGCCTGCGAACTCACGAGATGAGCTCCCGCGATGGGCAGTAACTGCTGTAAAGGAGACGCCTCCAGGCCCATTAGGTCCAGTTCATCCATCTACAGCAGGTACCTTAACCTGGCCATCGCAATCGCCCAGGAGTACCACGGCGTACCCTGGGTCCTACGAATCACCCCCTGTCCGTACGTAGTGTCAGTGAAGTGAAGTGTGGTGTAGTTTAGTTACATAATAGTGTAGTGGCGCTTGTTTATCAAGTTAGAAAATGTGGTAGGCGAATCGGTAAATTTCGATCCGATGGCGGTGTCGTCAGTTGTCAGCATGTTGGTGGTATCGATGTGATAACGTCATCATCATTTGTAATTAACTATAGTCCTCGATAATGCGGTCGCGAATGTCTGAGGCCCAACCTTTGCCAACAGCCGAAAGCGAGTCAAGTCCATTCATTTAATATGATAAATCTCACAGTCCGCAGCGAAAATAAACACGGCGTAAGTCATGGGTTTTTTATAATCTTGCCTCGTAGTGGCCTTGAACATTTTTCATAAAATGGGTCGCCAAAGCTATGTGGTGTATTCTTCGAACTATTCATCTTCTATCTCAAGGTCTGAGTGCTTACGACTATTACGACTGAACATTCTTGATCTTTCATGTGTATTTCAAAAGATAACGTTTTTGATTCATCAATATTTTAAGTGGTAAGACATAAACAACGCACTAAAAACTAGTTGGCAAATACCAAGCAACTGTTTACGCGAGAGAGATCGTGTGCGATAGTGTTGAAACAATCGAATGATAGTAAGTATTTTAAATTAGAATTTACGATGATTATAAACTTATAACTGCAGTTGAATATTGTAATTAATATAATTAGAGATCTCAAGAAAATTGAGTTAAGATAATAATTTACGATGACCATCACCATATTTTGTTACAGAGCAGCAGATATTTTTTTGTTTGGCTACTCTACATGATTATAACTTCAGTTAACTATGAACATTATTATTTTTCTTTTCATTGTCTTCACACGGGTGCTAAGTATACATTTAAACCGGCCTCTTGAATCACTCTATCTATTAAAAAATCGTATCAATATCATACATAGTTAGGGACAGACAGCGGAAAGCGACTTTGATTTATAGTATGTAGAGATAGTGAAGAACGGATGAATAAAGCTGTTAAATTAATATGCTAGCATTGTAGGTACATATCCCTTACATTTAAAAATACTGAACCAGTAAATCCATTACTTGTGGTGTACTTGTGCTTACCCACAGTGGTGTAAGTTGATCCTGTTTTGCTACCTCCAGTAGTATCTGTCGTGTTACGAAACAATGAGCTAAGTACGAACCTAACGTATCCGACACATTGTGTAGCAAGTACTTACTTCGCAAATGTCTTTTGTGTTCTCAGTAGGTGGTCTTTCGTTACCACTGACAAAGTTACCCTCAGTTTTATGGTTAAAATGAATATGAAACATAGATTTTTAACTGAATAATGCGTGTGCGCATGAGCTCCAAAGAAAGCAGTTTTAGATTATTTGCAACGTTATTGATAATATCATTCACACAATACTAGGAACGGCGCTATTCCTAATTTTCATACCCATCGTTGTAACCAAACAGTTTCATTGGCGGTAAAGTTGTGTATACTCGTATAGCTAATGAAAGTCAACCAATGAAAGCTAAGGCGGAGTTGCAACATCTTACTTTAACTTTGACAAACGTCAAAAATGTGTCAAGCTCCATACAAAAAGTAAGGGGTGGTGCAACTCATCAAGTTACACGGAAAGTTAAACAGACAGACCCGTACTAAAATTAATCAAGATTGACTAAATGCAAAATTTCAATCAAGGTATATCTACTTCATTACAAAATAAATTAATAACAGAGTAGCTACTCATCACTCATCTTTAAAAGTTACTAATGCTCTATTAACCTTGAAACAATGTCATTTACTTGACAAAATTAAAGAAAACTGGTAAAATTCCACGAAGG